CATCATGGCTGCTGTTATTATTACGATCCTTTAAGCCATTCTCTTGTCTGAAAGAAAACAAACATGATTTATTAAATCTTGTTAAATTATTCATATATGCAGAAAAATCATTTCCTCTACTTATAGCCATGCTTAATTTCACTTTTTGGGAAATAAACTGTTAACTAGCAGTTCCTTTGAATTCCTTCTTTCCTCCGCAGTAAGGTTGCCTATCTTTGTCTTTTCTACTTTCATGACAATTGTTCGGATAAGCTCCTCGCTATGGAGACTAGCCTCTTGAGAATTTAAGCGCAGTACTAGACAAGGGACGATGTCTCAGCAATTTATAGTCGAGTTGGCTAGAAGTAACCTTAAATTCTAGGCTAAAAGTTTCTTTTCACTCACTTGTGGAGCTCTCATGCGACTCCATGCTTTCCTGCCAACTTTACTCCGAAAAAATTAAATGCAATGTCAATCGCTATCTGCAGTTCACCTGATTACTCTTCCTCTGTTCTCACTCCTTAGCAATGTTTCTGTTTCTAATTCTTCCACACCCATATATATATATATATATATATATACATATATATATATATATATATATATATATATATATATATATATATATGAATGAAAGATATATAATCCGGTGTTCTTATAGATATTTTTATTTTTACAAAATAGTGCTCAATGTAAATTTACAGAGCATTAATATTATAAATCAACTGATTTAAAATATGTTTTTTCGCTACATAGCAATAACCATGTTTCAAAAATGGAAGCTAAAAGCTTCGAATTGAATTTTGTAATTAAATTAAAATATTAGTTCCATTACATCCTCAAGCGAATTTTGGAGTAACTTATTTTTAAATTTACTGAGTTTTAAAGGCACGGCAAAAATTCATAATTCACTGTTTCCAAGGATACAGAGAAATGCACTCATCCAGACAAGGGGTAGTAGCGTATTCATTTTCCTTAACTTTTGTTGTATCACTTATTAGTTACGTTCGAAAGAGGGGTTAAGTTTAGGTATGGGTGGGGATGTATTTTTCAACGAATTCTGACATCCGTTAAATACATGTTGTCTGGGTTTTTTAAAATTTTATTTTATTTTTTCTATTTGTATACTTAAAGATTTTTGGGGATGTTTAGGTTAGAATACGTTTTATTTGACTACAATTTTAAAATATTTTCACTTTTAAATTTTTTAATAAACTATATTTCCTTTTAAAACAATGTTTACCGGAAAATGCAGTTGAATGAAAAAGATAAACCACCACAACGTGCCCCAAAAGCTGAGCTACGTGGAATAAAGGTAATGTTGTACGAGTTGTGGAATCGTCGTGCTAGTGCTAATTTAAGAGTTCTTAAAACACAAAAAAAACACGAAATGCATATTTATACGTCGAGCATTTTTCATATGTCTTCGACAAGAGATTGATTAATTGTTTTTAAGGCAAATCAATCTTTTGTAAGTTAAGTAAAGCCGAAACATTTTTTTTTATTTCAATATATAAGTTGTACTATTTAATCCATAGCTAGGGTTGAGAAAAGGTGGATTCATACCCTTCCCAAGAGTATTTGTGTGTGAGTGAATTTAATGAACTCGAATGTAATTCGAACCGAACTCGGCTCTCCGAATTCCCATCTGTGGATTCCTACATTTCCCAAGGCTAAGTGAATATAATGAACCCAATGGAAATTGGAACTTGGCTCTCCGATTAACAATTCTGTGTTATTGTTCATTACACCACCCGCACATCCAAGCTTACAGCACCTGATATTCCCAAGTGGTCACTCTTCTTCGCACACACCAAGACTTAATTTTGAAAATTCCGAAATTTGTACACTTTGAACATATTTTCAGTTTCAATGATTCCCTTACCCTTTATTCAGAACAGTATTCTTTAAGTCGGATTTTGCTCAGACGATGAGCGACTACTGCATTAAGTTTGTGTATTCAACAAGTGGTATTTGGTTCGTAATATGTATCTGTAATATCGTCATTATAAAAAGTTTTCCCTTGTATGAGCGACGCCAGGTAGCAGTGTCTTTTGCATAAAAATGGCATAATCATATAAGATATTCATTATGCTGAGATGTATGCAATGAGCGTGTACGTGAAGATCAGACAACAACAGACCAAGACAAGGAGGAGAACGAACAGAGAGTGAGAGGGGAGGAAGTGAGAGAGAAATGTCTGGGTGATGTATAGCAGCTCGAAATCAGAAATCTGAAAGCCGAGTTCGAATTCTAGTCGAGATCGTTATATTCATTTATGCGCAGATACCCCTAAGCAAAGGTATGAATCCATCTCTTCTCCCTCCCACGCTATGGGCGCTTTAGACTTGGTTAGCAAACAGTCTATGATAAAGCCAACTCTGAATTCAAAACCTGAGAATGATATCGTGGCACACTATGCACCAGTTCTCTGTATTCAGTTCTTCCGTACAGTGTGGACAGTTCAGCACATTGGGTCACCACAATAATCAAATCATATTTGCGGGTAGTCTGACTGCTCACGATCCTCGTACGTCAAATACAATGGGAGAGTGTAACGTATATATACGTAGGTAGTTCTGTATGTTCTCCGTCTGAAGTTGAAAAATAAATAATATTTAAATTTATTTTTTCAACATGATCTCCTTTCTTGTTCATGTGCACAATTAAGTGATAGTTAAGATTAATGGTATTGGTAAAATTAACAGTAATATTAAAATTAACCGTTACCAGTCAGAAAATATTCAGCATTCATTGACCAGACATTAACATTGCCGGTTGAAATTTATAATGTTTTTCGTCTTTTTTGTCTCCTTAAATCTAACAAATGCTCTTAGGTCTCTCTGATACTATTGGGGATTTCTTTCCGAACATTTTGTTTTTGATAATGTAAAAAAAATAACAGTTAGATGATATCATTATTTTCTTTATAATTATATCTACTATCCATTTTTGTTGTTGCGACGGTTGCAATTCTTCAAGTGATTTTTATTTTTTTTGGCAAATATCTACGTTTGGGATTTTATATAGCATCTGCTGACGGATTGTCTTCTTGAAGATATATACAATTTATTCACCTGAGTCAATTTTTAATCGTTGATTTCAGAAAACTTTTGTGTATAGATAATAGTTTAAATATTTCTATGAGTTGACCGCGATCCATGTCATCCATATCTGAGTCTTGATCTAACGGTACGATTTAAGAACATGGCTCGAGTTTTCAATACTGGGTGCGGCAGAAATACCTCCCTAACGTTAACTTGTCAACTATGTGGTGACAATGGACTTAGGCAAGTGGATATTGTGTTTTCCACTGGCCAATGTTTTACCAGTTTTTTTTTCAGATACCATCAATTACCATAATGGTTTGGACCGGCATGCAAGGTCCGTTTGCTGTTGAAACGTTTGTTTTAAAGACTGGTGAATCTGTAATTGCAACAGAGAGAGCTTTTCGTGCTCATTGCATGTTACATCGGAATGCTGTTCCGGATAGAAAATCGATACTGATATGGATTGAAAATTTCCGGACCACATTGCTTAAAAATAGCCACATGGTAGACCTCGAAGTGCTCGAACTTCTGGCTTATGGAAAACTTTATAAATCGTCCACAACAGAGTAGAGCGAATCGAAGTCACTATTTCGAGGATGTCATTTTTAAAACAAAAATGAATAAATACGGTAACCACTTTTTTAAACAACAGTGAAATAATTTATTTAATAACAGTTGTCTTGTGTGTTTTTTGGGGTTTTTTTGTCTATCTTTAATAAGTGGAATGTATTTCTGTCGCACCATGTATTTTGGTTTTGCCGCATTTTCATGTGTTCATCTACTTGAACAATAAAATTTCAGACCAAAATTTATTTAACAACTACCTGTCAGTTTGGGTAGTTTGACAGTGTGTAGTTTTTCTTCATTACTGAGAAGTTAGTTCGATCATCTCAAGGTGTTTCATATGATAAACTAAGCAAAGCTTAAGAAATAATATCTCTATTTCAGAGTATGGATTTACTTATCTAATCTCATATAGACAGATATTACTAGCATAATTTTATTTCTGGAAAACATATAGCTATGAAGACTCTACATAAAGTATACATTATTAACGACAAAATTTTCTAGCGATGGTAGTAATGCATTAGCTCCCTTCAAAGTACTCTCCTTGGACATTACACATAATTTTCACTTTCACTTTGAACAATTATGATTGCAAAGATCGCCATAATCTGCTTTGTCGTATCATCATCATCATCATCATCATCATCACCATCATCATCAGTTCTATGAAGGGTCTGGTTGTAGCGACAATGCGTAGCTGTGCACCTCACCTGTTTCCGCCACATATCTTGACTGAAAGCCTGTTCTGTCATGCGTGGCATGTCTTGGGCCACAACTGCCAATTTCCGCCTAATTGAAGGCTTACATTAGTCACGGACAAGTGGCAGTCGTTCCCATGCGTGTTGCCTTAACAAATAATCTTCGCCTGCGACCGGAAATTTCCTATGTTTTTTGAAGAAAATCAGAAATTGCAAGGAGACATATCTAGAATACAAGGGTTTAGGACGATGCGATATTATGGCAAAAATCACTGTATGTGACGCTATTGTGAATACAATTCGCAAGTTGAGAGTTCCCTTTCTGCCTTCAATTTCTGATAATTTTACAATTGAAATATTTATCTATAAGTTCTATGCTAACAATTTCTTTTCTTGCACTTTTCCCTTGTGGAACTTTCTTATGACTTCTTGCTTTCCGCTCAACTTTGATCTTCAAAAATTTAAATGCTATATTTATTGGTATCTTTTGTCATCTTAGTTCCTCTTATTTTATTTTTCTCTCTCCTTAATAATCTTTTCCTTATATTCTTCCACATTCAGTAACCCCTTATGTCTTAGTGGCCTTTATTGCCTTGCCTGGGGTGGAATGATTAAAAAAAGCTTCTCATTGCGAATTGAATAAGCACATCCACAGTAATGTTCACCATGATTTGTTGTCAAATTACAGTAAAGCTGTGCAAAAACGTCACGAAATAGTAATAAAAATCGATAGATAGATGAGTAAACGGATAAATATGAACTGAAACAGATAGATAGATAGATAGATAGATAGATAGATAGATAGATAGATAGATAGATAGAAATTTGGAAACTGACTTTTTGTTTATACGAGTATTATTTAATACGGCAGAAAAGTATATTTTGATATTTTTTAAGTATTTTCATTCATACACGTGCAAGGAAATGAATGCGCCATTGTTTTTTATCATCTGTTTTAGCGCTTTCAACCATTCTCTGTTCAGTCTGAGCAACAATATATATATCAAGTTTTATTCATCATAAAATAAAATTAAGAACACAAACTGACGTCATATTGACGTACCTATGCTTTAAAAATTATGAGTTTTTTTATTATTATTGTAAAAGATGCGAATATTATCAACCATTCTTGAAGCACCTATAATAAAAATGATAAAATACACCACAATAAAGAACATATAATTTACTCTAGTAAACGAGAATTTGAATATGTTTCAATAATAAAAAATATTATCAGAACGTTTTCTTCAAACACTAGGTTACTGAGCAAAAGTTACAGAAACTGTAACCACTGATTTTCTTTAAAAGATTTTTTCACTGACGTTTCCTCAATTAAAATCTTAACGCAGTGGTTCTCAACTGGAGGGGATTCCCCTCAGGGATGGATTTCCAGGATTCTGGATAGGATCTTTTTCTTGTTTTTCTTTTACAAAATTTGGAGCCTATCATGTGTGTTTATCTTTTTATCATGATACATTTTGATTTTTGATACGTTTGTTCGGATCGATTAAATATATGTTCCTACACATGATGTTCGTAATTATTATCACGTTCAGTTTATAATTAATGTGAATTTTGTCAAAATAAAATAAGTTTATTGTGTTACCACATAGAGTTTGCTTTGATTGAATAAAATAATAAAGATCCTTAAATATGGATGATAAAGCGTTGCTTTACGCATCTTACTCCAAAGTATATAAACCCCTAGTACACGAATATGGAATTGTTATCTCGAGTCCACGTTACAGAAATGTGTTAACTTACTGCAGTCTGCCTAGAACCAATTCCTCAGCCTAAGTACGTAAAGTCAATTTACCATCGCTTCATTCAAAACACCAGTTCACCAATCTTCGTAAGATATTCAAAATACAGAATGTTTATGATAAGGTAGTCGTGAACAAAATTTTAGCCTCTCAGCAGTTAGATGCTTTATCACTCAAACAAGCTTTTGAAGCAACACTCGAAAATGGTGGCAAGATCCAGTTTCTTTGTTCCGAAGTTCATAGGTAACTGAAATTCTTTACCAAGCGATGTTGTGAACGCGCCAACGCGGGTGATTTTCAACAAGAAACTCAGAATCCTGAGGAAATAAGATTAATATCGTCAAAATCAAAATTCCAAATACTGATTAGGATTATTATGTCATTATTCGGATTATAATAGTTCACAGATGGAACGAGGTGGCTGAAAAGAAAAAGAAATGACAAATGTTCTCAGAGAGACTTTTATTCTACTAAGACATACACAAAACTATATATATATATATATATATATATATATATATATATATATATATATATATATATATATATATATATATATCACTGCCGAAAAAGCAGAGTCTAAGGATAAACAAAAAGGAAGGGTCTTACATATAATATGAAGATACTTTTAAGTCTAGAGAAACCATATTTAATTCACTATATTCAAACGGACCGGATTCATCTACTATGTCCCAGGTGAGGTCATATTTCCCAAAGGGGAAACGGTGAGTCTTGGGTTTTTCCGGTGAGGACTGCAGATTTTCTTTCTATATCTGGGAAAGGTATATTACCAAAAAAACGGCAAAATGTAAGCTGCTGGAGAGGCAGATTTAGCAACTGCCAGGGGGACCCAGACTAGAGAAAGCAACATCTCGGTTTGGCTGCTATAAAGAAACCAAACGACTGACCACTTTCATAACTGTTTGAAGTGACGCCGCTAAGCGGCTGTCACGTGACGCATGTGACTTATCTCCATCAAAGATAGATAATCTTCTCCTTCGTATTGAAACACACACACACACCATATATATATATATATATATATATATATATATATATATATATATGTACATATCAAGTGCTGCTCTAATGATTGGATAATTCTTGTTGTTTTATTGTAGGGTAAAGACTTCTAGAACATTAAGTCCTTAATATCATCAATTAAAAAGAATTTTTTTTAATCATTTCACCCCAAGCAAGGCAATAATGGCACTAGGACACAAGAGGTTATTGAGTGTTAGAGAATATGAGAAAAATTATTAAGTAGAGAAGACAATAAAAGAATAAGAATTAAGAAGACAAGATCACGATTGACGATTTTTATCAAACAAGAAAAAAAAGAAAATAATTACTTGGATTCCTAAAATTGATTTGGAAATTGAATTTATTAAGAAAGACTTGTGTTAATGGATACCTTCTTGGTATTGTTCAAGCTATAATTATTGCTAATATTGCAGAATTGCATTAACTTAAATGTTTTGCTATCGGTAAATATCCTTTACATTTGCGGTTCCCTTGGATTGGCGATGTTTGCACTAGGTTTTTTAAACGAATCTGTGATAAACGTAAAATAATTATCTGGCAATTAATTCGCGTATTTTCTTGTCTTATCACATTAATTCAATTATTCATCATTTTCAATTTCAGTATGACGTTGACTATATTGGTAGAACTAATCAGCTTGGGGAATAGAATAAATCAACAAGAGTCAGCTACTAGTCGGAAGGATCAATTCCGTAATTCTTCAATACATCCGGGTCTGTGATAGCGAAACATCTAATGAATAACCAATTGCGAGTTATCAACTGTCATGATGGCAGGATTTCATTGTGACTTTAATTAGAAAATATTACAGACATATATATTAAAAATTGACAGCTTTCTCTGTGAGGCTTTGAATTTCAATATGACCTGCTTATGATGCTTTTATGCGTATATTGTTAATATATATGTACACCTATCTTTATCAAAAAAATTCTTTCTTGTGACTGAGCACATCATTTTTTAGTTCCCGATCGAGATCGGAGGGGTGAGGACGTAAACCGGTCATTTTTTTCTATTTTACATTCTTTTCGAACTGCCGTTCGCGATATTTATAACATTTTTCATAAGAGCCTAAATCGAATTAGCATCAATGTGTATGTATATAAATTAGTTGTAAGAATTCGTATAAGATGGAATAACGAATAGGAATTCTGCGCCGGGTTGTTGTATATGAATCACTTACCTATTGACGGAATAAATCGACCAAAACACAGCAGACAGGAAAAACAGAATAGATAAAATAGTCAAAATCCACAGGGTAAAAGAGGAGATCATCTGTAAAGAAATAAGGTGGATTATCAAAGTTGACAGAGATTGAAAAGACATTCTATTCGAAATCAGAATGCCAGTTAGTACAACGCATCTTAAAATTTGTCTAACTGAAATTTGGTTGGAAAAAATAATTACTATTGAGATTATTATACAATTTCTGAGAACAGCAGATTTTTATAACAGTTTGTTTTATAAATTTTATTACATTTATAAGTTTATCATACCTCCTTGCATTGAATATTACTTCCACATCTGGTGCGATGCTCCTGTTATATATTTAGAGTTTCTTGATATAATCCAAAAAATAACCTGCAATGTTATTGGTACTGATCTAGCATCAATTTCTCACCACCGTAACTGATATGTCTCGGAAAGGGATATATTTGTTCGAAGTAGCTAAGTGGTTTTGGCTACTGTAACCGGGTAGGACAATCTAGTAGATAGCCGTAATGGACTGGTACCCGTCGTAGTCGTAGGCAATATGCTTAGGCTTAAGCTTATGCAATAGTCGTAGGCGATGTACCTCTACATCAGTCTGTATTTATGGCTGAAACCAGTCAATTATATTACTGTGAGGGGGAACCCAGGTGTATGCATATTCATTACATCAGTAACGTAGCTCCCTGTGCCTTTTCTATAAATACTTTCATGCTAATAGTTCTGATTAATTTCCCTCTATGCTACCTATTAATTAATTTAAGCACAGTACTAGATTGGCGATACTGTCCCATCATTTTACAGATGAAATGACTAGATGTAACCTAAGTTATATTGTAGCAACTTCTTCTACCGCACATCTTGCTTGTGGAACAGTCAAATTTGATCATCAAAAATTTAAATGCGATTCGAATATTTATCTTCTGTCTTCGTAATTCTTGTTCTTTTATTCTTTTTTCTTTAATCGTGTATTTTTCTTATATTCTCAGTAACCGCTTGCGTCTTAATATCTTCATTGTTTTTCTTGGGGTGGAATTATAAAAAAATAGAGCTTTTTGTCTTTAAATGGAGAAGAAGCAACTGCTAACCTTTCAACTCTGCTGAGTGAACCTAGAAAGATTCAACAGCTTGGCAAACGACTGCAAAAGGCGAATACTAATTATTTTTATTTGCACCTCATCTCCATTTTCACAATCCATATCACGTTTACAAAATATACAGGTCCTGATCGGTCCTGCTCTGGCATCTCAACTTCAGTCACTTTCCCACCTCCGTGACGTGACTTCCGTCTGCCTTTTGTACGGATATTTTCATGCTAATTGTAATGAGCTCTCCTCATAGTTTACCTCGAATGGAAGACTGGCAACTGGGTGTCATCGTTTAACTATTGAAATAGTTACATGTAGCCGTATGTTCTATTCTTTTCTCTCCTGTGGAACTCTCTACCTGTTATTAATTCCCTGCCATCTAAGTTCTTCAAAAATTTAAATGCAATGCCGTCGCCATCTATCTTCTTGAATCCTGTTCTAGTATTGTTCGTTCTCCTCACTGAAGTCTTCTCAGTCTCTTTCGCTCTGTATAACCTCTTACGTCACTATGTAAGATGCTCTCAAAATTAGACGTAACAGGATTGGAAAAGAACAAGACCATTCGCTCAATAACGATGGCAGCAGAAAATTCATGTAGATGATTATGGCTTAAAAGATCAAATTATTGGCAGTCAGTAAGGAAATGAGGGGAGGTTGCTGTTGATACTTTTTTTCGGGTGAACTGGGAAGTATCTTGGGTATGACCTAAAACTACACCCAACAATGGAGTCTCGGCTAGGGGACAGAATTATGAAACTCCGAACACTTGTTACGAATGGGTGATGGGTAGTTTCTTTTTTTTAATTATTTGTTTTGTCTTGTTTTGGGTGGGTTGTGGAGGATAATTGGATGATTAACAAGAATGTAAACAAGATGAAAGTGAGTGAAATCGGTTTCATATGTGTGCAGTGAGCTTAAACAGGGATCGTTACTTCCCACTTCAAACCGAGCGCGTCGCCATATTCCGTACCAGATTGAGAACGTTGCTGCGTCAGCGTGAAGAGGGAGCATGATGTTGAAAAACGCGAAATCCCTGATGAACTTCGGCTAAAAAAATCACTGACGGTGTGTGCCAAAGTATCAAACAGATGTATTTCACGAAATACATTTCAAATTTGTGATTGCATATTTTTTTTAAATTTACAAAAACTTGTAATGCCTTTTTCTTCCTATTTTTATTTTTACTTGTTTATTTATTTATTATTATTTCTATGTTATTGGTTTATTTTATATTATTATTGTTATTAGTAGTAGTAGTAGTATTTGTGAGCAGGGGCCTGGCTACCCTCAATGCGGAGATATGTTTTCACCGTTTCGAGAGTTTTAAGCAATAAACTTAACTGATCATCGTTTTTTCTTGTTGATCGAAGAAAAAATGTACATTTTAAATGCATCAGTTGCGTATGAATAGGATGGGATTCAAACGATCGCATTGCTTGAAGTGACCAATAAATGGTACTGTCATTTCCCTAGTCTCCAGTTGCTTCGATGTATAACACCTGAATCAGACCTAATGCCTCAGGAGTTTTCATTAATTTGTTGATGGTTTAATAAGAAAATATTTTCCTGTTTCATTTTCACCGATAATGCTTTATATTGCAAATGTGATGAGCTCTTCGCTATGGTACCTAGACTTTTTAAAAAATTTAAGCGTAGTATTAGACTGGCGTCGAGATCTCATCAATTTACACTTGAGCTGGCTGGATGTAACCGTAAGTTATATGCTAACAGTTTCTTTTTTCGCACTTCTTGCTTGTGGACCTCCCTTCCAGCTCCATGCTTTCCGGCCAAATTTACTCTTCAAAAACTTGAATTCAATGTCAATCGCTATCTACTGTCCTCCTGATTACTCTTTCCTCTTCCAACACATTATTAATATTTCTGTTATTAATTCTTCCATAACTTGTGATCCCTTGTATCTTTACTGCCTTGCATGGGGTCATACCAATTGAAAAAAAAAGAATAAGAATTTTTTTTAAATACTTTAAACATATATTTTCTTATAATATTTATTGATTTTTTTTTTCTAAACGAAGTATCGACTATGAGGAGCTTCACTGGGACCAACACTGGAATTGCGCCAATTGCTTTGTGAATTAACTAAGATCAAAATACAAATGCAATAACACCATTTGAATAAAAGTAAATTTGATTTACCTTTGTTTTCTTTCTAGAAATGTTCTTCACGCTCTTCAATGTTTGTTCCGTTTATCAAATTGTTTGCGTCTAATTGGTAACGATGACGTCATAAAGCGTTCTTTTATATTTCCTCTTTATAAGAAATGACGTATTGAAAAAAATCGTAAAAACAATTACCGTTTGTCAGGATCATTCATTTCGGTGGCTTGCTCTTCTTCCTCTTGTTAGGCGGAGACAAGTCACAGGTCTGCAGGTCCTTCTGTCTCCAGCGTCCGTGTCAGGGTGGCCCGGAAATGTCACACAAGATTAGTGATCGACACGCCTAGAGGATGGTTTTCATATGCCTCGCGCTGACAGAAGACCAGATCTGGGCGAGTACTGTTAAAGACATGCCATTTTCCGCCTCTCGACCGGACGGGGCCCCGAGACAAGGGATCTCGAGGCCGCAATGTGCGTTCGAGGTGTCGATGTTCACTGAGTCCTGCAATTCGCATCAGTTCTCGCGGCTGGCCGCGCTCTTCATCGACGGACGAGCCGAGTGATCCCCCGTCCAGGGTTTTGTTTTGGTTAAGTTTTTTTTCGTGACAGGTTTAAAAAAAAAAATGTGTGCGAGGAGAAGCAAGGAGGCCGAGTTGATACGCGCGCGACCGAGACGGTAGCAGTCCACAGCAGACTGGCACCCCGGCAACCACCACAAATTTGTCGGGGACATAGACGGCGGCCAGGACCGTACACGTGACCACGTCGACGTCGGCGGGAGACGGAGGCTGGTCGGCGGCATCCGTCTCGCGATCGTGGCCGGCGGTAGCGGCAGCGCTCCTCGAATCGCGTGCGCATCTATCCGAACTCGACCTCCCCGCACAGGGACGTAGAGGCGGCAGCAACGGCGGCGGCGGCGGCGGCGGCGGTACGTGAAACGGGACGGCTGGACGTAATACGGCTGGAGACGGGCGCCCGTCTCGCGCAGAGAGCAGAGGATATTTTTTGTCGGACGAGTAGGGAGGAGGAGCAGCATCAGCAGCAGCAGACGCAAGGAGGCGAGGCCGTCCATGCGACGGTGGCGCGGCCATTTCTTTTTGACTGCTGCCGCGAAACGAGCGCAAGCTTTCCCCCCAACCCTGTTTCGCCGACGAATAACGTGCTACCCGCGACCGACCAGTCGTGACGGCGGCGGTCTCTTGACGGCGGTACACGCCGCTCGCTTGCTACGAGTCCCAACCGACGAGTCGTCTCCCAAATATACGGCGGGGAGATAGCGAACTCGACGGCGTTTCGAAAACGAACGGACACGACGACATGCGCGGAGTCATCGATAATGATCCTTCCGCAGGTTCACCTACGGAAACCTTGTTACGACTTTTACTTCCTCTAAACGATCGGGTTCGGTCGTCTTCTCCAGGCATCGAACGCCGAGGCGAGTACGACACGCGCGTGAAACGGCGGCGGAGACCGCAGCCGCTGCGCCACGTGCACGCTGCCCGGCGGCGTCGTCGGCCAGATCCGAGGACCTCACCGGACCGTTCGATCGGTAGTAGCGACGGGCGGTGTGTACAAAGGGCAGGGACGTGATCGACGCGGGCTGTTGACCCGCGCCTACCGGGAATTCCTCGTTCACGGGGTTGGTTACAGGCCCCGATCCCTATCACGGGAGGTGGTTAAGAGGTTTCCCGACCCTCTCGGGCCGGGGCGAAGTCCCCGCTGATACCTCCAGTGTAGCGCGCGTGCGGCCCCGGACATCTAAGGGCATCACAGACCTGTTATCGCTCCGCCTCGTGTGGCTTTCTGCCACCCGTCCCTCTAAGAAGTGCGTGAGAAAACCGACCCGGACCCGGGCGCTGCGATGAACGCCGAGCCCGCCGTTGAATAAACACACACATCGGCGCACTAGTTAGCAGGCCGGAGTCTCGTTCGTTATCGGAATCAACCAGACGGATCGCTCCACCAACTAAGAACGGCCATGCACCACCACCCACCGAATCGAGAAAGAGCTATCGATCTGTCAATCCTACCGGTGTCCGGACCGGGTGAGTTTTCCCGTGTTGAGTCAAATTAAGCCGCAGGCTCCACTCCTGGTGGTGCCCTTCCGTCAATTCCTTTAAGTTTCAGCTTTGCAACCATACTCCCCGGAACCGAACTCTGGTTTCCCGCAGGCTACCCGCCGGGTCATGGAAGCGAACGCCGGCGGATCGCCGGTCGGCATCGTTTACGGTCGGAACTACGACGGTATCTGATCGTCTTCGAACCTCCGACTTTCGCTCTTGATCGAGGAAAACGTGCTTGCCACACGCCATCGCTGCAGTTCGTCTTGCGACGATCCAAGAATTTCACCTCTAACGTCGCAATACGAGTGGCCCCGACCGCTCCCTTCGATCATTGCCTCGCCGTAGACGGAGACCGACAGACGTAGACGAGGCCCTCTTCCATCATTCCATGCTTATCGACAGTAGGTACGAGCCCCCACTGTGTATAAAATGCTTTTGTAGCATGCATAACAAATAGCCTCTGACAACTAAGTTCAGCTCCAAGCTGAAGAATGGACAACGGCAGACAACTGGCACCTCATAATCAGTTGCTTTAGGTAGATAGAGCTTGACAGCCCAAGAAGACAGTCCATCTAGTGGAAAGAAAAACTGATTTTAATTTGAAACCTCTGTTGCTCTGTGGTCATACACAAACACAGAAAAGCGATGGAAGTAAATACAAACAGAAAATCCAAACCAGAGTGAATCCCCGAAGCCAGTTGGCTGACAAATTTCCGGCAACTCCTGCAACAAAGCCATCACCAAATGTAGTGCTTTGTGTTTCTTTGGATTTTGTCGGTATGGCCAAGAGAGTGGGGACATAGAGTCTGGGCTGCACACAGCCTCCATAGACCATCACTCAGACCAACATTCTGGAGAGGTCAGGGATACAATTCTCAAGTCCGATAGATCCCTTAAGGAGTATGGTGCCACTGCTCTCAAGTCATGTAGATCCCCTGAAAAGTATCGAGGCCAGAACTCTCAAATCCCATAGACCCCTGACGAGTATAGCAAATAGTAGGTTTATTATAGGATGAAGCTTGCTAGTTTGGAATTCATAGTTGTCCTCTTCTCAGAATGGTTACCAACAATAGCTATTATTTGTAATGATGTTTTCTGTTACTATGCATCAACCTACATAAAATCAGCAATAAAATGGGCATGTAAAAAATAAGATGTAATCCACAATTTTGAGCCTTGGATTACCATTATTGATTAAAACCGCGAATATTGTTATTAATCTTACATGAAATTGATTATAATTAATATTTTATGTTACTAGGCATCAAACTACATAACAATCAACGTTACAATAGGTATTTAAAATAATCAATCATAATCTTCCATTTTGAGCCTTGGATCAGCGTTAGTGCTTAAAACCACAAACATTGAATCTTCCATTATTTTTGTTAATATTACATGGAATTGATTGTAATTGATGTTTTCTTTCTATGCATCAAACTATATAAATATCAGCATTAAAATGGGTATGTAAAAAAATCAATCGTAATCTGCCAACTGAAAAATTTTGTATATTTATTTAAAAGAAAATATATATAGATTTCAGACCTAGTTTTGGCATCAAATGTCTGGGAACTTTGTTTACTGTGTAAGCCTGAGGACAGCTCCTCGTCGATGACTAGCATCACAACACGTGTACACACATACATACACGTCTATGTGTGTAGTGGAATTAAATCTTTCTCTTTGACAATTCAAGAAGCACTGAATTTTATCATTCTAATCACACAGGGGTTGTTTAATGGAAACAATTGTTATCCTTCCCCTGAACAACTTGGCTGGGTTCAAAGACCTTGTTTCGTATTCAGATACTTTGAACTCCGGTCTACCTTATACAGTACATGTTGCTGATTTCTGTCTTCTTAATAAAAACAGGATTTGACTTATTAAGAACCGTGTAGGGAAAGAACAGTTGTTTTCCCTTGGGTTGAACGCATGGGAATTCAGCCACTTAAGAGAGGAGAATTCTTCCATTTTGGCATCCATTTGAGGAACGGAATACCTTCCTAACCATCAGGGCGTCTACCCATATGGAAAATGGACAACATGTACACAGCCTAATGCAGAGAAAAAATTAAGGAATTTTGACTCAACTTGTTGCGGACGGTGAAACAAAGGCCATAAGGCTGGTATGTTTATTTCTTGTTTCGTTTTTTTCTGTTAAACATTCTCGTCCTTGGAACTGTGTGAATAAAATCATTTCTTTTCGGACATGTGTAAATCATTTTAAAAACATGTGTATGTAAGTTGTATTTATGGCCATATTAAATCTTTTGTTCATGACAGGCGTGTATCTCTTCTTTTCTTATTCGCATTCAGCGTTAGTTTATCAATGGCTACTCGGTGTACAGGAAAGAACGCATTAAATTAAAAATTAACCCGGTTAATTTGCAGTATAAGTATCAAAAGCCCCCGGTATCGAAAATGTACCATTCTGGTTTGAAATTGTTTAGTTATTTCGAAAATGATATTAAAGCATTGCGCTCAATTACCTTTTTTGATTTATCGTCAATCTAAGTTCGTTCTCTTTCGCGTTGTCCAGAAGCCATGAATGACATTGTTTACATATTTTTTCCTTTAGAAATGCGCGTAATGTAATTTACGAAACTTTAAATTCAAGAAACTTTCACGACATAAAGGATAATTTGCTTTTTAAATCCCGCACTATGTATCTAATAAAAAATTCCCGAATAGTTATATTTAAGTGTAAATGTACCTGCCTAGTTCGAAAATAAAGAAATTTTGATAAAATCTACTGTGTTAGAGTTATGGACAGTAAAGGTTTTGATGTGAAGTCGAAGTTTAGCACTAGTCAATCGCTAAGCTTGTCTTCAGTATTTAACAGACACGACACCCCACCCCACGAGGACTGTATGTGGCACAAGGCTTGGTTTAACGTGGGTTTATCCGAGTCCGTAGGCTCGGCCAAAAAATATACCTTTTGAACCCGCCTAAACGGGTTCAGGGCCTGTCTACCTCCCCGGACGAAACTTTGCCCTTCGGCAAATCTTCGTCCGGGTTCCTCTCTGCCAAAGCAGAAAGTTCAACAGAAGTCAGACACAGAAGACACACAGCTAAGCTTGTCTTCATCCCACGTTATTCTCAGTGACGAGTTATATAGGCTTTCTCTTGCACTTATGCAAATTAGGCATATTAATTTGCTAGTGTCACTACAGGTTTGGACTCATTCTGTTCATCTCTCCGCCATTACTGGCGTTGTTTATCTATATTTACTTCGGAACACCTTAAACCCCCCTTAAAAAAACAAAAACAAATAATGGCAATACAACGACCGACAACTCGCCGATGGGACACAACAGGTCAGGTCATTGAAACCCTCCCCAACCACCAATACCGTATCAGAGTTGTCGGATCAGGTAGACTTACCTTACGAAATCGCCGATTCCTCAGGAAACTGGATACACCTACAATTCCAATTCTCAAACCTAGTGCCTTGCCCGAGACCCCTACACCAGTGCCGCAAACATTCGACACTGGAATAACATCAAACACCGCTCAGCCGTCTACAATACCACGGACACTGTCCAGACTACTTCCACACAACCAGCCAGGTTTAAAGGAACTCATTCCTCCCCAAAGGCCACTACCCACACGTGATGTGGGGAAAGAGATGTAGAATAACAATAGACCAACAACATTTACCGATGTAAGGGTCCCAGCTAGCATCCAGCTGGCAGACAAAAATAAAGCAGGTTGTAACTCAATACAAACCCCGCAAACTGACTGGAATCATGCTGGTATTTATACAGAAATACCTCCACTCATGTACCAGCAGCCATTCACAGCCCAAGCAATGGACTATCCCACATGAGCACAATGAGATGCTCCATGGCACCATAAATAGCTCTCTTTCTCAAGGTGGAGGAGGCTTTGCTCAGCTTGTTCCAGTGTTTGTCTTGACAACGTGATTGTTCTACAATTAACAGCACATTTTCATAGATTTTGCTTTCATCTATAGTACTTTACAATGTCATTTTAATTAATAACATCTCTTCTTATGTACAAGTTAATTTGAACTCTACAAAAAGACAGCACTGCTATAATTGTTTATAATGGTATAAGCATATATAATATTATATAAACAATGCTATAATTTTTTAAACATCCATACAGCTATGCTTGGCATGAGCAGGGTTAGGCTTAGGTGTAGGAAAAGATTGTGTAGATATATGGGGGAAATCTCTGAAACAATGCCGAAATTAATATATTGCAGCTATCCACGTTACAGAGAAATAATAGTGTAGCCAGTTTCCATTTGGTGACAGTGACATAAATGTTGAAAACACTTAAATTCAACTTGATGATTGAAAATGTAAGTATTTGGTCTTTTTTAATGGTGTAATTGATCTATGTTTTACAAATAAATAAATGAGCACATGGTATTTTTCAAATTATAATAGATTTCCCAAATTCCAATAAATTTAATTATCGATTTAATTCAATATCAAATTACAGCAATTTAGAAGAATAAAATTATGGTCTAAGGGAAATAAATACGCCAATATTAAAAAATAACTTTCAAAATACGTATAATAAAATATAAAATAAATATATATGAAAATAATGTATACGTATATTCAGTCAATAATATGGTAAGAAATAGCAATTAACAATATCCAATAAATTTGATTTCCTGTGGTGTTTAACAAGATAGATCAGTTCTCCTTATTTTGAAAGACTGATGCCAAATGTTAAATTAACAGTTATTCTAGAAGTCATTAAATGAAGATCAATAAGTTATGAAAATAAAAACAAAATGAATAAAATAAAGGAAGTCACTGTTGAATAATATAGACATTGTAAAAAAGAAAGTCTAACAGAAGTTACTTCCCATGGAGGACAATATGATCTTGTATTTAAAGTTTAATGGAGGTAACAATATTTTTAGGCTACAAAATAAATAGCATAAAATTCGAGACAAATGTTCATATCATCCCTACAAATTGCTGTCTTGAAATTTTTTTCACATTATCAATTTTTCTCATTTTCCATCATATTTTCCTTTTTTGGTTATTAGTTCCCAACTTTGGCCCATGATGCGGATAACTTGGCAAGAAAATGTGGGCAGTGGTTTATAAGAAATACAAAATAATTTGAATGGTTCATATGAAGACACTCTGAAATAGTTATTTTTTTAAATATAAATGCACTCTTGTTTAGACATAGGTGCAAATTTTAGAGGATTTAGGAGTGTTTTAGTTCCTTTGCACCACAACATTTATAGTAAATTGCCTTAAGGAAAGACACTAAGCAATATGGAAAAGTTCACAAGGCCCAAACAATTTAATACAGATTCAAATTCATTTGAGGCTGAAAAACCATGCATATGATGGTTGGGAAATTTCAATCATCTATGCTGGAACTCATTAAGTATCAGATGCAAAGACAACAAGAGAGTGAAGAACGTTTTCAGAAAGAACAACTTAAACTTCAGAAAGAACAAAAGGA